ATAGTAGGCTTAATATCTTACCTAAAGATAAGTCTTATATCTTTAACTTTCTTTAGAGATTCTCTTTTTACCCTTATTAGAACCTTTTAATTAGTAGCTTTCTTATACCTTTTATCTTATATAAATTAGATTTAGTCCTTAATAAAGTAAAAGATTTACTAATATATATCCTTATATATTAATTTACTAAAATAAGTAGTATTAATATTATATTATTCTATTATACTATAATAGACTCCTAATAGTATTACTAATTATAGGTATCTTAATTACTTACTAGATATAAAAAGCCTCTTATCTAATAGTCTATAAAAATACCTATACTTAATAAGCTATTTACTAATAATATAATAATTATTAATAAGTAAATATTTATTATATTTAAATAACCTAATTTAAAGACTATATTATTTTTTAGTATTATACTTAAAGTAATACTTAGTTAAATACTTCTTAGCCTCTTTTTAATTATATTAGAATATAATTAACTTAATCTTTTTTATTAAGTAAAGTTAAGTTATATTTATTAGCTTATTAAGTTAATATATATTTAAGATTCCTTTTATATTTATCTATTTATTAAACTTCTTTAAGAACTTTATAGTATTATCTTTAATAAACTTATCTTTAAAAATAGTCTTTAGTTAAATTTAAGTATAAATTAAGGTAGTTAAAAGATCTTTATTATTTACTAAGTTAAAGAAGTCTAAGTTAAGATTAGTAAAGTCCTTATTTATAACCTTTCTTATTACTCCTTCTTTTATAATATACTCTCTTACCTTCTTTCTTTTTATTAAAGTCCTCCTCTTCCCTCTTTTCTCTTAACTATTAATCTTTATATCCTTAAGACCTTAATCTTTAGTTATATTAGTTAAATTATTATTAAGAGTAATTAGGTCTTTTATTATAATAAAAGACTTCCTTTTATAACTCTTTAGTATTTTAGTATTATTAAATAGTATAAATAATATTATAATTAAGAATTTTAAGGTATAGAATAATTAAAATAATATAAAGTAAAAGTAATATCTCTTTAAAAGATTAAATAGCTTTTAATTAACTTACTATTTACTAGAGAAGGGAGGGGGTTTATTTATTATAAATATTATAATATTTCTTTTTCTTTTATATTAGTTATTAGGTTTATAATTTTTTTACTTTTAATTATTTTTATTAAGCTTTACCTTAATCCTTATCTTTATTTATTTCTAATATTCTTCTTTAACTAGGGTATTTTTATAGGCTATTTACCTAATATCTTAATACTATAAGGTAATATAGTTATTATCTAGATTAAGAGTATTTAAATACCTTAGAAGAGTTTTTTAGAGAGCCTAAGCTAAGAGTAGTTTATTTTTTAAATAGTATAATAACTTAAGATATTTTATATTTAACTTTTAAAGTTTAAACCCTTTTTAACCTATTAATCTTATATTCTTTAGCTTTCTTATTCTTCTTTAGTTAAAAACACTTTAATCCTTATCCTAGTTCCTTACTTACTTAACCTATACTTTATTTCCCTAAATAAAGACTCTATTTATAAACTATTTACTTAATACTCTTATATTATAAAATAATTTAATTATAATCCTAATTATAATACTTTAACTATATTAATAGTATTTTATTTAACTAGATTAAGAGTAAGTCCTTTATAGTTAATATTATAGTTATATAATCCTTTACTTTCCTCTATAATAAGCTAAACTCCCTTTTATAAGTACTAATCTTATAATTACTAGTCTTAGTATTTTCTTAGTAGGAGACTACTTTAATCTTTATTTATCCTTATAATATTCTATTTATAATTCTTTTTTTAATTTTAAATATAGTTATAAGTTATTTATTTATTATTTCTTTATTTATATCTTAGTTTAGTAATAAAACCTTCTTATAATTATAAAGCCTAGTAGTTATTATAACTTAAGATAAACTATTTTTAAATTCTTATATATTATTAAGCTTATTAGCTCTCTTAATAGTTTTTTTTCTAAGTACTTATTATAATAACTCTTTAGTACTTTTAACTAATAATTAAGGGTATTCTAATTATTAACTAAGGTTTCTCCTTATTATAACCTCTATTATAATTATTATTAAAAGAGAAATAACTAAAATATATAAAATATTTACTATTACCTATAAGACTATTAGGCTAGTTTATAATACTAATAAAAGTATAGTCCCTCTAAGGGTATAGTATATATATAAAGTATTTATTAACTCTTAATTAGGAGGTTTATAAAGTTAAAAAAGTATAATATTAAATAAGGGCTTAAATAATTAATAGTATTATTACTTACTAAGTTATTAAAGATTCTATATTAGGTAAAGATATTATTAGAGACTAAGGAAAATTATATAAGGCTCTTAATTATAAGGTAAATAATAGAAATTAAATATAAAAAAGGTAAAAAAGTTATTTTAAAAACTATAAAAGGACTTTATCCTTTTATACTATTCCTTATAGGTAAACCCTAGAGGTAGTTAAATCTAACTAATATAATAACTATAATAATTATATTAATAATCTCTTTATTATTTATTAGACTATTATATATTTTACTTTACTTATAAATATTTAATTAAATAATATATAATATATTACTTATTTTAAGTAAAATAAAATAACCTCTAGATTTTATTAAATAATTTATATAAACTATTATAAAGTATATACTTAGTAATAACTTTAGTATAGTCCCTATAATAATAACCTTCTTAAGTATATTTTATATAAACTTATAATTTCTTATAGTCTATAGCTTTATAGTTAGTAAGCTCTTAGTAGTTATAGTATTACTTTAGGTAGGGGTAGTATTTAAATACTATTATTATTACTAAAATATTACCTATATAAAAAAACCTTTTATTTAGAAATTACTAAGCCTTAGATACTTACTTAAGTTCTATTAGGATTAAACTATAATTCTTTAATTACCTATTACTTAGTTATAATACTTTTACTATTTTAATATTATTTACTATACTAAGAATTATTATTATTTTAAATAAGTTATTTCTTTCTTTATTAAGTATTACTATATAAAAGATATTATTTATATAAATTTAGTTATAGTTATTATTAAAGATTTAGGTTATAAGAAGTTTCTCTTTAATTATTTTTTTTATTATATCTTATTTACTTTTATTATATTATATAACTCTTATATATTAAGGGTTTAACTAATCCTCTATTATTACTTAGTATTATTATATATTATTATAAGGTTTTATTTTTATTTTTATTTTTAAAATTATTTAGATTATTTTTATAAATACTCTTTTATTCTTATTATCCTTAATTTCTTATATATTAATTATATAATATATAGTTTTATTAAAGCTTATATTAGTTATATATAAAGTTAATAATATTATAATATTACTTAAATAGCTTTTTAATAATATTTTTATAATATTAATATAAAAAAGTTATAAATTACTTTAAATAAGTAATTTAATAATAATCTTAAGTATAATAGATATTTAAATTAATTTTTTATATACTTATTTAAATTTAACTTTTATTTAATTAAATTCTTATTATATTTTATTAATTTTTTAATAAAAGCTTTTAATTATTTTACTTTAATTTTTTATTTATTTATTATATTTTTAAATATAATTTTTTTATAAACTCTAATATTCTTTATATACTTAAAATAATAATCTTTATTATATAATCTTTTTTATTTATTATAAATATTACTTTTATTTTAATTACTTTTAATATAATACTTAAAACTTATTTATTACTTTTTTTAGTTATTATATTTACCTTTTTTACTATATTTTATACTAATATAGCTTTTAAACCTAATATTATAATATAACTAGATTATTTTAATAAAAGACTAATAGTTTTTACTTTAATTATATTACTAATATAGTTTTTTATAATAATTTAAGAATTATTTTATAATAAAATCTAATTATAAGTAATTTATAATAGAACTTATTAAAATTAAATTTTTTCTCCCTTTTTTTATAAATACTTTAGGTATTTTTACTAGTATTATACTAAGAAGCGTCTTTAATATATAAGGTTTTAGTTAACTAGTAATTTACTCTAAATTACCTTATACTTACTAGTTATATTGCCTGTGTTACTGTCTATGTATTCGTTTTCTGACCAGCCTTCAAGGACCTTAAACAACCCTTGCCCGCTTCATTCCCTGTTTGCTAGACAGTAATGATGCTGAGGCGTGTTCTACATGGAATCTGGAGAGGTCGACCAGCATGCTAGCTGGCGCGACATCCCCTTACCCCTCTGTATTAAAGCAGGAAAGAGAGCGAGAGAGAGAGAGAGCCTCGCCTCTAAAACACACAACGAGCGAGCAAGCACCGCAACACAGCCACAGGCTAGCTAGATGGCTGGGTTGGCTCGAAATGAGGAGCGCAGCAAAAAAGAAAATTGTTTCCAAGCCCGGGATTCGAACCCGGTCCTCCTCGTCCCTTTCGGGCACGGTTCCGCTGGACTTCCACGCAGTAGGCTTCCGCCCCAGCTTCGCCGTGTGTCAGCAAGATATGCAACCACTACACCAGCCTGGGTTGAGGAGTGGAGGTTTATTTTCAGATATAAGCCTTCGTTCGCCGTGTCGACCACCCTAAACATTCGCCGCGCCGAGTTTATGCATATGCCTCAACGCAACGTGGTTTCACACAACCGACGAAAAGTGAAAGATTTGCAAGTGCATCTGCTCAACACATTAGAGAGATACCACACCGCCGCACTTAAGGAGTCCCGCACAACATAGAACAATTGCTGAATGTTAGGCAGAGACTGCGGGTGCAGCCATACCACATATAGCTTGACACTAGGCGCTGCGACGCCGCGCATTATACATCAACAGATGGAAAAAAGAAATGAACAGACCTAGACAGCCTCAACGAGCACTCGCGGGCCTGGTTTCTTACTGCGCATGCAGGCCTGCTTGCTGTCAAAGCCAAACACGATCGCGGAGCAAAAATAAAACCCTGCACGGCCCAAAAAAGAATCTCCCCTCCGGCGATCGAGCCCGGGGCCTTCTGGCGAAGGAATAGTATTGGATGAATACCACTGACAACCAGATGTCATAACCAATTAGACCAAGGAGAGCGCTTGTTGTGAATGCGCATTCTTATTTCATGTTATAAAGCAGCGAGATCGAGGTGGTGTTCGTCTGAGTCGTAATGAGGCGGTCTCTAGAGTGCGCATCGTTGGAAATCGGTCTTGGATGGAACCTCGCAGGAGAGATGCTAGCAAAAGAGAGGATAAAAGGAAGAAGTGTCTTGACCGTACAGCCATGGGCAAAAGGGCGTTCCGCTTTTCAAACTAGTCCCTCTTTCTAAGCTACTGCAGCCAAAAGTGGCAGGTACTTGAGGCTACTTGATTTGTAGCTAGGCAGCTAGAAATGGCGTCTATTATTGGTGGAAACTGTAAGCGTATCGCTTCTTGACAGGCTAGCGTGTAAGTAGCGGCAGGTACCAGCAGTTTATCGCTTAATTGGGCTTAGCTTCACAGTGCAACCCTGGCTAAAAGCTACTTTCTCCAGCGTCTTCGCCACCACGTTTTACCATCTGATCGGTCATGGAAGTAATCTACCCGCGCAATTTTAGGTGCATTGGCCTGACGGGTTTCCTGACGCCCAGCTCATTATTTCACCAGCTTTTTTGTTTTGTTTTCAATTTTTAAGTTCTTGTTTGTGTAGAAACGGTGCCCCAGACTTGCGGTTCAGGCAATAGGCTATTCAGTCGCGAGAACGCAGGCGTTGGGGCTGTGGGGCTCCGAATTCGAGAGCTCGATGAGGGAAATCCCATTACGCACTCCGTCGGGTTAGCCAACGAAAATCCGGCGCTGTGATTTATTCGGCTACGGTCAAGTAGCGTAGAGAATACGGACCATGAGATGGCTCGCGCCCATCCCCGAAGTTTGACGTTTGCTCGCCATCACTGACCATTGATACGTTAGCGGTGCTCGTCCTTGATCAGTGATTGCATGCACGCCACGAGACAACTTACCAGTGCTGCGTATTTCCCCAGTTTCTTCTAGAAGTCGTACAGCGGTTCGAACTGAAAGGTAGCATTTCATCAAATGATTTGTCGCACGACGCATTGGCGTGGTCACAAGCCGTGTGCAAAACGTCGAAGGTTCCAGCTTTGCTGGACACCACACCAACTATAGCGACGCACCGGGCGATTCTCTGAGTGACATACAGCTCTGGTGCAACCGTAATCCAAAGGCAAGGGGCAGCAGCTCTGGCTGCCGATGAATGGGAAAGTAATTGGCTATCCACACTATTAGCAGAACGCAAAATAGCCTAATTTAAACGCTAAATTATGTCCCCAAACGGTAAGCACTATTTTGTGGCCAACATCACATGCTACAGAGAATTCTCTAAGGTGCTAAACACTACCTTGCTGCCACAACTTCAATGCTTCCTTTGAAGACTTCGTATCCGGATGTTGTAGGCCAAGAATGCGCTGACGAAGAGAAGAGCACTGATACAATAAATCAAGCGCCTCGTCAAGACGCCTAAGACTTTTAAAACTGTATGCCAAGTTATGCATGCTGGTCAGCGTATCGGGATGGTCCGCCCCAAGCTTCGTCTTGCGAGTCTCCATCACCTGCACCTTAAGCCTCTCCGCCTCCTCCTATCAGCCCTAGTTCTTATATATTAACGCTAGGTTAGCTATACTAGTTAGTATATTAGGGTAGTCTGCCTTAAGCTTTATCTTATAAGTCTTAGTTATATATAAAAAGTAGCTCTTAGCTTTACTATACTACTTATTATAATATATATAAAGGCTAAACTTCTATATAAGGCTTATTTCTTATTTACCTACCTCTCCTAAAAAGTAGAATCCTAAGATATAACGCGTATATAGTAAGTATAGCCTCTATATATTTCTACTCTTATAGTCTTTAGCTAAAAATATAGTATTTAACCTTATAACTACCTTATATATTTATAAGCTAAAGGACTTCTTTTTTTACTTTAACTAGTTTTATATTATAAGATATATAAGCTAGTATATATTAAGGAATATTATTATTAGTTATTAGCTAATAAATATATATATCTTTAATATTCTTATAGTATTAACTTCTTCTTTATATAACTTCTTAGGTAGTAAAAGAGATTATAAAATATCCTTAGGATTAAAGTAAGATATAAGTAATAAGTACTTAACTACTATAGGATCTAACTACTAGATCTATATAAATAAAATAAGCTAAGTCGTAGCTATAGGGTCTCTAACTATTCTATAGCTCCCTTTGTCCCTAAACTCCTCGCTTAGAAGCTTAACTATATCTTCCTCCTATTCGTTAAGAAGATTAAGATATTCCTTAAAAGAAGACTAATTCTCGTTAATATATACAGCGGCCTAGATAATCGCTAGTAGCAAGTAGCAAAGTTCCTTAATTAGTACTTAGCCTTCTTTATGCCTCTCTAGCACTTTTTAGTTAAGTCGGCTAAACAGGAGTTAAAGGGCAGTGTCGTCGTCTATTTGCGTAACTTCTTCTCTAAGCCCGTCCGACGACAGTCTACCAGCAATCTTTCTACTCCGTGTCGTAAAAACCACGCAGCCCTGGCTGCTTCCCGGTACATATTTGAGTAGGCCCCTTTGGCTATCCTGGCTCCCAGTGCTTGGGATCCACACGTCAAGATCATCGGCATTGTCGTAGATCAACAACCATCGACCGGCCGAGTCCTGGCTGAGGTGGCGCTTCACGAGTTGTTTCACATCAGACTTGTCGTCTGTCACAGCTATTCCCAGCTGCTCTGCAGCATCGATATATGCTTGTCGCAGCCGGGCGGTGTTGTTTGCCGGTATCCAGATAACAGAGCATTGAGTGTACTTCTCTCGGGTCCGATATGCTAGCTCGAGAGCCACCTGCGTCTTCCCTACACCTCCTAGCCCAAATAATGAGATTTTTGAAGGCTGCTCTTTCGTAAATAGCGCCGCTTCTAGCTTGTTAAGTAGCGAGGCGCGCCTAACGAAGCGTAAGTTCCTCTCGAAAGGAACCGTCTAGTAAGGTTCACGTGAATCTATGGAGATATTAGTAGAAAGCTCAACTAGACTAACATAACGCACTTGTCTGTTTGCTTATTAGACGAATGGAGTATTCTTAGGCGTTGTAAGCTTGAGCTAAATAGCGATATGGGAGATTATCTTACGCGAATGATAGAAGCAAATGTGGTGGGAGTTCTGTCTACCCTAAAGTTTGCATTAGTTAATATGCTCCTTCCTTTATATTACTAAGAAAAGTCCTTAATATATACACTCTGCTTCTGTTTTAGATTTAACACGTAGTCTCGCACGCGCGTGATCTGAGCTGTGTGATTAAGGTAACTCTCCGTTGCTGCCTCTATGGTCCCCTGTTGGTTAAATTCCTCTAGGCTGACGCCTTTAAGACCATGATCAACATTGAAACGAAAGTAGCGCTTAAAGTCGTAATGCTGCCTCCACCTTGCTATGAAGCGCGCTTCTGTCTGTTCGGTTTTAGTCACCATTCTGACTAGGGTCTTAGATAAAAGTTTGACCATGTTATCCTCGATGGCCTTTCTTCCCGGATGGCCCGTCCCTACTGATAGAAAGCATTTGACCTGCGGCATCAGCTCCGCTGTATCAGCGCACTATATATCTGACGCCTCTCGCTCGACTTGCTCGACGGGGTTGTTTGCTCCGAGGGCGCCGTCGACGAACTGGCGAGCGCCGATGCGCACAGGGTCAAAGAAGCGGGTAGCGGCTGAAGTCGCAAGAGCAGCGTCAAGGATGGTTGCTTCAATGCTTGCCTTGCCTGGCAAATCATAGCTTCTAAGTCTCGTAATATCGCTCGTTTCCTTTGCAGCAGCGCAGACGAACCTACTTGGTGTTAGTGTATGGAATACCTTGTCATGATGCACAGCACATACACCCGGCAGCCCCGAGATTGCCCATCATTGAAACGGTCCCACATTTCCCCTGAGAGAGACAGGCAGCCAGCTCGATTTCTTTTCAAACACGCTCTTCATTAGATCGACGTACGTCGAAATGCACTCGTCGATGTCCATTTCAAGTCGCCTAAGCATAATTGCAATGAGGCTAGTAGGTTAGCGTCGAACGATGGTTGGCGACGGCCTCAACTTACCCACCGGTACTGGTGCCCCTGATCAAGTCGAAAACTTCGCAGGGTTTCGCAGAGGGAAGGCTAGTCTCCTTGCGTTTATAGTTAAGCCGTGCCATGATGCCTTTCAGGATAAAGAGCGTTGACAGGCCACGGACACCACCGCCGTCGAGCGACAAGAGGCAAAGCCCTTCGCGGTCAACGGGGTTTAGCTCTCTAGTTATATTGTGCTCCATCGCTATAGCGACTTACTCTATATTCGTTAAATAGGAAGTATCTGAGGATGGAAAGTGGATTAGAGAAAAATGGTCGAAGTGACATTACAGGGAGATAGTCAGATCAGCTCAATGGGAGGGCGGGGAAAGATCGTGGGCGATCGAGGCCCAATCATTTGGAGTGCGGCGCAGACATGACCCGCCCAAGTTGGGCAGCAAGTCGTCGGGCGCTAAGCGCAGCACATTGATCGTTTGTCAGACCTTACCTGTTCTATGTCCCGTTGTACCACCTCCGAGGTGTCCACCAGCGGCTCGGTAACGGACACAGATGCCGCGCTTGGTCGTCGATTCCCTGTATCTCTGTGGCTTCTCGTGCGTTTGATCAACCTTCAAAGTGTATGCCGTCTATAGTGCCGCCGATGGCTTCGTCTGTGATTTTCTCCTCACTATGTAGTTTATTGAGACCTGCTCTGATTCGGTATGTTTAATTTTCGAGAGATCTGCAGCCATGAGTGTACAGAGCATACTCAGTGCAGTCGAGACGAATGACCATTTCCGGTCGTTGGCAAGGGCCATGGCTGCGACGGAACAACTTGGTCCTGCGAGCAGAAGTATACAATGCATCTAAGTATTCTATTAGCACTGTGGGGGGCCAATCTTCAATTCAATTGTTTTTGAAAAAGTGGAAGGCCGTTTTGCCCATGGCTGTACATGGGCTCCCGCAATGGGATGAACAGCGAAAAGAGTTACGAGCAAGCACAAGCACGAGATGGGATGATTTATCACACCGAC